CGGATATAATAATATAGTAGACAGGATAGTGTCCCCAAGGATATAAATAAAAAATATTTATATTAAATTAAATTTTAATATTTCATGTCAAAATTTTTTAATAGGAACATATTTTTTTAATGTAGTTTTATTGACTGACAATAGAAAATTAGGAAATAAGGAAATATGTTTATTCAAATAATTTACGCATCTTTCGAGAAAAATTATAAAAGAGATCCCTAGTAGTCGAATCAAGAAACAATAAACGCAATCGGTACTCGTACATAAACACTTCTACTGTAATGAAATTATTAAAATAAGAAAAAAAAACGAGATTATAAAAGTGTTATTTATCTGCGCATTTCATAAAAGTTGTTCGAGTCTCCGCATATCAATTTTATGGGTTCTGAACATATACATGTGAACAATTCATGTTTAGTCACATTTTTATAGTATTTTTTTAAATTCATAGATAGCCCACTGACCCTTACTGGGAAAAAATATCGAGGTATATTATGTCCGGTTTTGTTTAATGATGAATTCTATCACTGATAATAATTCATGTAAAGATCCAGTGTTTTAAAGAATTAGACGATTTCCAAATACACTACCCTCCATTAAATTTGCAAATTCCAACAAATTTACAAATTATCAAATTTCTCGATATACTCGTATCTAGAAAACGATAACTCCTGTTTTGTTTACTGAAAACGAATAGGTTATCTACAAAAATATATTTAAGCATACCATTATCAATATCGTACATATTTTTTACGTATCCTTGTCTTTTGCTTAGAGGACAACAAAAATCATAGTATTATTTTTCAAAACACTTACTAAATTGTTTCTTGTAAAAATTCAAACTAATTCTGTCTCAATAGTACCTCATTAGCAATTCTTTATAAATTCTCGATCTATTTATGAAACATATTGTATACATGTAATTAAGCTTTATCAAGTCACAACAATCATGCAGTAGAACCAGTGAATGATTAATTCATAAATCATAAACACGTATAACGGATACACACCAAGAGCCTTTTCAGATATGAAATAATGTATGTAAATTATTAGCCTTGGTACTAATAATGATTACGTATTAGTTTCACAACGCTGGGTCGAGCGCTAGGTGCATTGATTATATTATTAAAAAGTTAGAATGCGTTCAGTGCAACGTCTCAGTGTGGGTACCTGCAAGATATGTCATATCTTAATTGTCAGATCCGACTCATTGCCATCTAACTTTGTACCTACGTCAGAGAGCGACCTACTAATTAGTAGGTGCTCTGCAAGCAATGTCGCTGTGATCAATGCTAGATAGGGCTGTAGTCCGCAGGGTAGTTGTTTGCCACGATGTGCTTAGTCAAAAGGTTCAAAATTTTCTGCCAAATTTGAACAAATTCTGATTGATAAAAAAAAAGAAGTAATACTTTATGGAGTTCATTAAATTTAACTAATATAGATAATTAATATACATAATTGATTTGATTATATTTTTTTGCCACAATTTTTTTAGAATTAAATAATTGATGTTTGTTTAATTCCACTTTTTTTGGTTCCGAATTCATGTTTGTATTATCTTTTGGTCTTACAGCTGCTGAGACCAGGTACATCTTTTTTTACTAGACATACCTACCTTGTAAAAGACAACCACCAAACCAAAATGCGTAAAAAGAAAATGTAACGTTAACAGATATTTTTCTTGTTCTATTTTTCGAAGTTTCGATATCGCAGCATCTAAACAATTATAAGTATTTTCTTTGCATAACTTTTTAGTACAGAAACAATCAAAATTAATTTTAGTTTAAATTTGTTTTAAATTTTAAGTGTACCATAAAGTTAAAGCACCAGTTCTATTTAACTTGCCATAGATATCGTGAACCCGTTGACAAAAATTATTCGCGGTACCGCTTATAGACTTCCTTATTATTTGTTTCGAATATAAACCTATTACTAAAATGGCATGCCTTTATTGCCACATGTCATTTGTGGTATAGGTATACTGCGATGATTTATAGCTTCGTACGTATTACGTCCTATATCTAACATTCACCAGATACCAAAAGTGTGTTGTAATTTAATTTACATGTTTCTTGTAGCAGGGGCTTTTATTTGCTAATAAAACTGAATATTTATAATAAACTGCAATAAATGTTACGCGAGTGGTCTGTTGTTCTACTTGAAAATTGTGAAAGTGACTGGTTCTTTTTACATCCTGCATCTATGGAAAAGTTAAATGATCATCAATTTGTTTAGCCAAGTACAAGCAGAAAGCAATGTTGGTAAAATACCTTGGCAAATAAACACATAACCATTTGTACAAGGGCATTATATTTAATTTTGGAATTTAAAAAGATACAAAGTGGTCACAGCTTTTTCAAAGGAACATTTTTTTGTGGTGCTGTGCTATTTTTTGATTAAACATTGTTACTAAATGTTATGATAATTTGTGTCAATAATTATTGGCAAGCTTCAAATTCTGGTTCATTTTTAACATTTAAAACATTTAAATAACTTTTTTTAATTAAAGTGGGAGTATATATAAATATTTCATTCTTTAACAGGTTTCAGATTTCAAAAAATTTTTTTTCGCCTATCTTCCCATCTACCACACCCAACTAGTTGTTATTTCAACATTACATGTAGATGGGCATGATTGTTTATTGTTTAGGACTCATACAGTGGAAATTATTCTAAAATGATACTCCCTAAAAACTTCCAAGTTATCCCGATTTGAATTCTTTCTAATTTCAGTTGAATTAAATACTTTTGTAAAGTCCTTAGTGTCATTTTAATAGTGAGTCTAATTTAAAATATCTCGATATAAAAATAGTTGCGAACCAAAACTACCCCTAAAACTACACACTTGTATTTAAAAAGGACTGTGGCCAGTATATACATTTATGGTCAAAGTGTGCCAAATTTAAATGAAATCGTTTAAGCTATTTGGTTGGAATTAAAGAAAAAGCGAATGTTATTTAAACCACTTAAGATCTGTTGTCAAGTACTTTAGTTATACTTTATACAGGTTGATTCAAAATTCAATACAAAAAAAAATCTAGAAAAATAAAAAACAACACCCTGTATATCGAAAACTAAGCATTTGTGGACCCACGTTTATAGGCAAAAAAAGTCTTAGTTTGACATCAAAAATACGCCCCTAAATTCTTTATACTGAATTTTGAATCAGCCTATATATGTATGTAAAGGGTGGGCCATTAGTGAGAGAAAGTAAAATAACTCCATTGTTATTCATAATACAGAAAAAAAGTTAACATAAAAGTTGTACAGAATCAAATAACCTAAAGGAGAAAATTAATTTGAAACATATAGGGCGATGAGTAAAAACGGGACACGCCAAATATTACATTTTTTAAATGGAACACCCTGTATATTTTTAAACGTACGGATTTCTGAGAAAATTCTATATATGGCAATATAAACAGTTTAACATATTAGTGCGGGGTTGCCAAGTTATGTAGAAAATTCTTCGAATTTTGAAATAAACATGACCTCATGAAGAAGTTGTATTAACTTTCAATTACTAACACTTTGAGTAAAATTATTTGACAAAAGTTATAGGTAAATGTTAGGCAAAAATTCCTATGTTAGCTAATATCGATATTTTATACAGGGCATTTTTTATAATACGATCAGTTTTAGAAAGTTCAACTTGATTTTCTAAAATTTTTCAAATGGAACAGCCTGTATTTTGTTATTCTATTTTATTCACATATTTGTCCACTTCAACTTTTATTAAGTATGTTCTACACCTAAAGTTGTTAATTTTTAAGATAAGTATAGCATATATTTCCGAAAAACCTAATTTTTATTATTTTCGGTCGCACGAAATGGCTTTGAAAAAAACTGTCACATTGTTTCAACTTGCCCGTTCGTAGTTTATCATTCCATTTTCAGTTAATTTTATTATTAATATTTATTTCTGATATTCTGTAAAATAATAAAAAATTAAGTTTTTTTCAGAAATGTTGCTATATCTTAAAAACTAACAATTTTAGATATAGAACATGCTTAATAAAAGTTGAAGTGGACCGATATATGAATAAAATAGAACAATAAAATACAGGGTGTTCCATTTGAAAAATTTCAGAAAATCAAGTTTAAACTTTCTAAAAATGATTGTATTATAAAAAATGCCCTGTATAAAATATCAATATTAGCTAATATAGGAGCCTTTGCCTAATATTTGCTTATAACTCTGTCTAATTATTTTGTTCCAAGTTTTAGTAGCTGAAAGTTAACACAACTTCTTCGAGGTCATGTTCTTTCCAAAATTCGAGGAATTTTCTACATAACTTGGCAACCCCGCACTAAAATGATAAACTGTTTATATGGCCATATATAGAATTTTCTCGGAAATCCATATGTTTAAAAATATACAGGGTGTTCCATTTAAAAAATGTAATATTTGGCGTGTCCCGCTTTTACTCATCGCCCTGTATGTTTCAAATTAATTTTATAGTTTAGGTTCCTTGATTCTGTACAAGTTTTATATAAACTTTTTTTCTTATTATGAGTAAAAAGAGAGTTATTTTACTTTCTCACTCTAATGGCCCACCCTGTATATACAGGGTGTTTTTAAAAGAAGTAACACAAATGGTACCGGTGAATTTATAGCTAAAAATAACACATTTTGTATAAAAATGACCTTAGTAAAATGTTCAGGAAATACTGCCTCTCAAAGTTTCCAAAAAAGTATGGAAGAGCGGCAGTAATTTGAAAACCAAAAAAATGCATTTTGCCAACTTTTACACAAATTTTCTACTAATGCGGGTGCAACTTCTCAACAATTTTTTGGAAATTTCTGCCCCTTGGGGGGGTTGAAATATGCATCCTCTAAATTATTTTTTGCTACAACTTTCTTGTTTGACAAAAATTGAATATTCAAAAATACGTATCAGATAACCATTTGTGCTACTTCTCTGGGAAACACCCCGTATATATTAATTTTTTTTCGTGTTTTGTAAAGAGCTACTTTTGTATAGCAGAACGGTACTTACTTGAATAATCCACCTTCCCAACCATTTCGAAAAATTAACTAAAACGTCCAAACAGGCACACCACTGTCCATATAAAAAAAACTAGTCCACACTAAAACCCCTCCTGGGAGGTCTATGTATTATCGAACCAGCCTACAGAGTCGTCGATTTATTAACATTTTACTGTCGCCCGATAAAAAAAATTAACTCGCATCAACCGCTCCAGTAACTTTATCTGCTGCTATTCACGTAAAACGCTCTCCCGACCCGACCAGCGAGCATTTTTGGGTGCCGGTTTGCCCACGTCCCTCCGAGGATTCGAACTCTCCCGCCCGGTGTCGTTCCGAAAAATGCTCTTCAAACCCAAAGTGCGAAAACGATTGTCATTTGTTTACGTTCCGGGCCCCACTTGATGGCTATCTTTTGTTGCCGCGTGCGAGTGGAATTGACTGGTAGTAGGCTGGGTGCACGGTGCGTGTCGATGGTCTGGTGTGGGTAAGGGTTACCCACTTGATGGTAACGTGATGTCATGGGTAGTGGGTTAATGTCGACGTGACGCCCGTATTTTCGGTTTTGGGTCTAGGAATCGCGGTGGAACTGGTTCTGTGGTTTATCTGGAGGTTATCATGGGCGGTGGGGTTCCGGCGAAATCCAGTCTTTAGTTTCACAAAGAAAATGTTGACAAATATTGTCTATAAATATCAGTTGACAGTTCCCCCAGAAAAATCGCAGGCCAGATATACAGGGTGTCTCTAAAGGGCCGGTACAACGCTCCACCAGATATAGTAGGCTTAAAATAAGTAGATTTAACTAAACTTGCTTTAGGCCAAAAATTGATAATAACGGAACTACAGGGTGTCAAAGTTGGAAAATAAATAACGTTTTCTTTAATATCTTTTGACTACTTCCACTAAAAAAAATTGTTTAAGTTTTTTTTTAACTCCACTGATAAAGAAATTAGGAAAAATCGTTTATTGGATATTGAATATCTCGTCGCGACATTGGATACTGTTACTCCCAACTAGTGAGGCCAGAATTTCTTCGCTTGTAGGCGCGTCACACTTGCCTACAATATGCTACAGTTCCCCCTCCACGCGAGGCGGTTAAAATAACGTGATTTAGGAGGGAACTGAGGCCGGCTCAAAGCTGTAGTTCGCGGTTAATGTACGCGTTGCATAGTACGTGGGTAGTGTCTGATGTCAGTGTGAGGGATAGTACAAGGCTTTAAGGATAAGTACAAGGCAGGTCATAATTTAAAGTAAATTAATGTAATTTAATTAATATTATTTAATAGATACTTATTATACAGGGTGTCCTATTAATGTTGCGAAAAAAATTCAGGGGGAGTTTCCTTGACCAAAAATAAGAAAGAAAGTTTCCATAAACCATAAATTTAGAGAACATACAAGGTTTTTACTAATATCTGGAGAACCCTAATTCCGATTGTTTTGAAATTTGATATGTTTGTTTATAAAAACGGTAGACGTCGTCTGACGTAATTTGATTTATTTTATCTATTCGAGCGGCGTCCGGGGACACAAATTCAAGAAAATGTCCTCATTTTGTTACTGAGAATCTTATTTTTGAGATACAGAATGTTTAAAACAGGAAGTCGAACAAGTGAATGACTATTACATTTCTTTCTCAAAATTCTCAAAATAGTTTTTCTATCTATATATATTTCTTTATTATTACTATGACTTTTAACATTTATAAATTAATAATCCCTGGTGAACCCCACGCCCATGTCGGTCATAAAGTCAGTCCCAGTAAGTAAATGTATTCACTACCATCATATCAGTTAATCGACAAGGAAGATCATCGCACAGGGCATTACACTGCCTAAGAACTTGTCATAATACCAGCTTTGTTTGCCAGCACGAGCCATCTGCTCTTGTTTCTTTCCGAAAAAATGCTTGTAGAAACATTGACATTAGAATAAATAAACACTTATAGATGTTTGACAAGTGTATAATAGATCCTGTTATGTTTTCTTAGTTCTTGCTTCCTGGTCGTATTTATTTATTGCTTTATAATTGTGGGAGTTTAAATTATCAGATATGTTCTTTTAGATAGAGTCATAATTAAATGAAAGACATAATGAGAGACACAATTAAATGAAAATTAAAGAAACCACAAATGTTTACCAAAACAACTTTTCCGAAAAATTAAAAAATCTGGCCTCTTCGGCTTCAATGAAGCTTGTACTTGTCACCCTCCGAGGAGATAAGACAAAAAAAAACAGAAAGGAAAATAAAATAACGGAACAAATCTATTAAATTCTAACCATCTATGGTAGGTAACAAGGTATTCGCCGCTAGTACTCAGTGGAGAAGGGGAGGTTCACTTTATAAAGATTGTTTTGGGCGCCAGGTAAATTTACCTCAACGAATACCGACGTTGATTAACCCCCAAATCTACCAAACGAGGTTAATAAAAAATAACACGGTATAAATGCAAATGATTATTGAACGTGTTAACTCCAATAAGGAAAATACGGGTTGCAGCAAAGCAAAGCAAAGCAGTAATTAAAATAACAAAAAAATGAGCTATTAAAGTTGATAGCAAGATAAATACAAGTAGCGAACGCCTGCACTATACTCTAATTGTAAACAATTTATATTAAGTTAACAGTACGGCAGAAATTAAAATATATAAGTGAGTGAAATTATTTGTCAGACGTTAAATACGCGATCGCGACTCTTGAGCTCAGGCGCTACGGAGTTTGTTGCCGAACGCAAGAAAGAATGTAATGCTTTAATTTCCGCTAACAATATTTAAAATAAATATACGGCGCAAGCGCAGCAGAAAGAAAAATAAAGAAAGATCGTTATGGCTATTACTGAAAAAAAAAGTTAACAGCTAACAGCGTTTAACAAGATTATATGCTGGCATGACAACCAAACACAGGACTCAAGACAAAATTTTAAGTTTTAAACAAACTTACAACTAACATAATTATAAATAACAGCTAATCCTAACTTAATAAATGCATGCTAATATTTTAACTTATCATCACGAAATCACTATTGAGTCTATATGAAGTAGACAATAGAAAAAATGGACTATAAATTCTGCAACTAATATTTAACTCCACGATTGTTTGTGACCAACAGTTATAAATGGCCCGAAATTTCCTACAGACTAAACTAGGTATGATTAATTAAAAATAATATAATGTACACAATGGTAAAATCAATAAAAGTTATCGGTAGGAATTAAATAAAGAAACTTTAACTTGCGGTTCTCTATCTCCGCTATGCTTCCTCTCGAAATAGGGACAGCTGGTATACTAACTTCTAGTGTTGGCTAGTGAGTGTATGTTTCGAATCAGAGAGTCGACTCTTGGCTTAGATCATCTGAGTCGACTCCCAAAATATGTAAGAGTCTACTCCGATGATTCACCGACTTCCGTGTGGAGTGTCGAATCCGTTATAGTGTACAGCTGAACCACCAGGGCCGAGAGTCAGATGTGAGTCAGATTCGTTTTGCGATTTGGATCGGCGTGTAGCTGTGCCTGTGATCACTGATATTTAGTGATTTGCAAGTCGTTTGATACTGATAGGGAGTAAAGAGTGTGGGCAACAATGGCCACAATCTACAGGGAAAAACGGTAGCAAACGGTTTGCGTTTGTATTTGTAAACGTTTGAAGAGAATATATGCTTTATCGTCGCATTCATTCGCATTTTTGTATGACAACAAATTTCAGTGAAAGAACTAAGTACATAACCCTTGACTGCAGTGGAAGAACTAATTTCAATTTTAGTCGTTTCAGTAAACAAATATGTAATCGAATTATCGGTCAAGCTCAAGATCGACAAAATTCGTCAATCGGCCCAGATTCCGCTATTTCCGTCCGTTCCGAGACGGGCCACCGTGATTATGCGAATTACGAACTTAGCGATTCGATATCTACCATGGGAGTTGGGAGTCGGAAGAGTCGGCTCCCAGTTTCGACTCTCAACTTTGAAATGAGTCATTTGATTCGAAACATCAAAATGAATCGTTTTGCCCATCACTAAT